CTCTCTCTCTCTCTCTCTCTCTCTCTCTCTCTCTCTCTCTCTCTCTCTCTGTGTGTGTGTGTGTGTGTGTGTGTGTGTTTATAAAATTCATGTCCTCAAAAGATCAGTGAGGATCCAGCGTGGTAAAAACTAATTGTCCACCAGCTAAAGAAACTATGGTTCAGTCACACTACGGAACACTTTTCAGTAATGGAGAGGAGTCAGTTGTTACTATACCAGACAGCACGGACGACTCGTAAAACCATGCTAAGTGAAAGCCTTACAGAGTCCAACTCTACATGGATATGAAATTCTAAAACCAGAAAACTACTGTGTCTTAAAGTTGGCAAGTCTCAGCTGAATGGCATCTCCCAGAAGGAGCCAGTACTTTTTGAGATGAAATGTATATCTTCCACTACTCTCTGGTGGTAATCACACACCTGTAAACTATTACCGACACTCACCAAACGCTACACTTAAAATGAATGAATTCCACTGTTCATAAACTAAACATCAAGGAAGCTTAAGGAAGTTCAGGGAATGTTTAAACTATTCTTCATCTGGATTATTACTTAAATGGAAAATTGTAAATAAAGTCAATTATGATCTACATAATGAAGAAATTCATGAAGTTGAACATATTAAAAATTCAAAATATTTGGGAAAGCTAACATAACCTAAGCTAAAAAAAGAAAGAAAGAAAGAAAGAGAGAAAGAAAGAAAGAAAGAAAGAAAGAAAGAAAGAAAGGGCTGGTGACATCTGTCACACATATGTAAAGCCCAGAGTTTGGCTCCCAGTGAGCCTCCCCACACAACCAACTAGCAAGCAAACAAACAGAAAACCATGCCACAATAAAAGCAAAAACCACACAGTAAGTTTTGTAAACAATTTTTTCATTTACCATTATCTCCTTACGGCTTTTGTAACTACTTTTACTGATTCTAACTAGTCATAAGTACAAAATAATGTAAATTTTTGTGGTTTTGTTTTCTTCTTGGAATTAGAATCAAGCCTGTGGTTTCGCTCTCCAAGTACTTATTGTTAGCTTCCCTTCTAGGATCCGCTCCACAGTTACCTGGCAAAAGCCAGGTAATGCCTGGTTTTTACCCTCTCTGCCTTTTCTCCCTCTCTCCCCTTGCCCCTCCCCCTCTCTCCATGTTTTCCTGGCCCACCTCTCCCTTACCTTCTTCCTCCCCCGCCCCCCGCCCCCCACCCCGTGTCTGCCTTTCTCTACTCCCTTCTCAACTCCCCTTCCCATCCCCTAAATAAACTCTATTCTACACTATACCCATCGTGTGGCTGGTCCCGCAGGGGGAGGGGATGCCGCAGCATGGACCGACCGAGGCACCCCTCTCACCTCACCATACCGTGCTTCTGCTCTTCTCTTTTTAATATAAAACACAACACTTATCACTCAGGCAGAGCCTCACTGCTGAAACATTTGTACACCACAATCAAGTTTACCCACCCCATCCACTCTTCTCAACAAAGTTTTAAAGCAGTCTCAAAGAACTGCCCCTAGCCAGAACTGTAGGCAACTTCAGTTTTAAAGCAGACAATGGCTCAACATTGGGGTGCCACCAAGTGGACAAACTATAATGTTGCTGAGACTAGCCATCGTTTTGTTTTATAAGCGTCGGAATTTAACGTTTAGAATCAACTTTAAAAGCCGAAATCAATAAACACCCTAGACCACAGACCTTGGTCCTTATCCTCTTTTTGAAGTACTAAACTCTCAAAGCAGAATTCAGGGAAACCAGGGAAGGACAGAACTTCCCATAGGAAGCCAGGCTGCTATGAACAGAAATCAGTAGCGTGAACCTGAGGCCGATTCCAAGAATGGCCTGGGGCGCTCTCTCTGCAAGCAAATTGTGCAAATCGGTGCCCACAAGCCAGGTCAGTGCCCACGAGCCAAGCAGCCCTCCCTGGAGCACAGGGACACAGACAGCAGCCTGGGAGGCAGTGAGCCACGGAGAGGCAGAGTGCCTCAGGGAGGGCGCCTCCACGCGGACAGGACTTGCTGACTCCTGGTTAGAAGGCAGCAATACCTCATCAGGATCAATACCTCATCGGTGTAGTGTGAGTGCCACTGTCACACTGAAACTTCAACTAGTCGGGCCATAAAAAAAAGATTTCAAAAAATGGTCCCTGCCAGGGGCATGCCTTGGAGTGACCCCGAGCCTTCTAGTCACATAGTGGAGACTAGCACACATGCTAGTCTCCACTCACGATCCTCGTGAGTATTTTCATAGGCAGTTTTTAGCTTCTCCCTGCTCAGTTAGAGGCTGCAGCCTCCATAGACTTTCCCGCAGAAGTTATCAAACCGTTTGGCTTCTGCTGTGATTTTCTCACAGGGAGGCTAGTGGGACCAGAACTCTGGCTTTGCACTCAGCTACGGTTGCTTTAAAGGCATAGCTTGAAGTAAAAAGGAAGCAACCGAACAACAACAACAAAAAAAAATCAGTGAAACATCTATCAGTAGGTGGTACTAAAAGCATGCTTGAAGAAACACTGCTGGTCTGCAAGCTCGGCAAGGGCGGAAGTCACTTGCCCAAGACAGAAGCTCCAGAGATCTTGCTGCCTCTGAGAGCCATGCAGGTCCCACCGCTACATGTTTGTTCCTTTGTTTCAACTTTAATTCTACCTTTCAAGCAGAAAATTTACTCATAGGGTATAAAATCCCCAGAGTGCGGCAGAATAAACTATAAACTTTGAGCTTCAGCAAACGTCCAGTTCCACTCCAGAGTCATTACACTGCCTGTGAATGCTTCCGGCATACGCAGCAGTTATGTGTGCCCACTCTCAGCATGCTTACCTTCTCTCCCATCCCCACCCCCTTGTTTTTTTACACCATCGGCAAAACACCCACTTAAAATAGCACTGTTTTCATTAGCTGATACAATATAGCATGGAGTTTATGGCAGATTATCACAGCGCTGAGGCTTGGCTACATTCTACTACACGGATGCCCATCAGCTACTAAGGAGTTCCTTACTAGATGCACATTTAGCTTATTCCTAATCTTGCACTATTTTCTATTATTGTTTACCTATAATCTTCTGAGCAAATCTGATGGCTTCTTCAATGGCATCTGACTTCACAACTGCATCCAGAATTCCAAGCTTGAGTGCCACATCTGTGGAAATATATCTTCCTGGAGCAAAAGGAAATAAAACAAATAACAGTGTGAGGACACACTAGGGCATTGCTCTGTCTAGTGAGGAAGGCTGCCATTCCTGAAGATACCAACTGGTAGGTGAAATGCCTAAGACCAACCTGAGTGCTGTACTTGGTGATTTGTTTGTTGAGACAGGGTGTCACTATGTAGCTCTGGCTGCCCAGGAACTCCACACATAGACCAGGCTGGTCTCAAACTCAGAGATCCTCTTGTCTCTGACTCCTAAGTGCTGGGATTAAAGGTGTGCACCACCATGCCCAGGCTGGACTGTTGTGGTTGAATCAAACAGTAGCTCTAATTCTTACTATTAGAGAAACCACGCGGAACTGTGCAAGGACTCCAATTTTACCTCTGATAAATGGAGGTAATTATGTTTACCATACTAATTCTGAGTACTCGGTAAAAGACGAGTGGTGTCTTTAGATCCTTATAGAGCTCTATAACCCTGTGTGTCTCTATAGAAGTGTGAGAAATGGCTGGGCTTGGGACTGCAGTAGAAGAGGTAAGCAACAGCAACAGTATGGCAGGGATCTCTACATTGTACCTACTGCAAACTGGGAACTGTACTGATAAAGGAAACAGACAGTCCACAAACACAAACCTAGAGGGCTGAACAGGGGAACCCACATTGATTAAGCTGGCATCCTACACAGTACAGTGAGAATCACATAGGAGAAATCAGACTGAGTTTTATCCCTTTCTGGTCACCAAGCACTGTGACTCTGACCTAGCTTATAGACTGGGCAAGCTTTGCAACCCTGCTTCCTATGGAGGCTTTGGAGGAAGCAGACGCCATTAAACAACTGCTCCTTCAGTGCCCTGGCAGGAAAGTGAAGCCAAGCTTGGTGGAATCATGGTTCTTCAGCCACTGCTTCCCCAACAGCCTTCCGAACCTCCTCATCCGGTGAGTGGCGTCAGACGTCCTCCGTATAAAGACACTGGGGTGAGCATAAGTAAACCTGCTTAGGCAGGGCAAAAAGACCAAGGCATGGAAAATGAAATCTGGGCACTACACAGAGCTCTGGGGCAACAGGGTGGGGAATGTAAGCAGTCCATGGAGGGGCTGGCTGTTGACAAGCTCTTGAATCTCACAGAAAGAATATCTGGGCTGTATTTCCGGTTAATAATGCCTTTACAAAAGCCCAGTTCTGATCCAAACTACTAACAAGTAAACATAAGAAGGCTCTGCATGCTCAACCTGAAGCCTCAGCCAGGCTGAAACGCATTCTTTCCTGGGCCACACGCAGTGTAGACCAGACCTCTGTCTAGCAGGCTGTAAGCCAACAGTGCTGTAAGCTGAGCCGGAGGGAGACCCAGAGTGACCGAGAGCACCTCCTGCACATTTGACACTGCCATGTTTCTTTCCAAATTTTTTCAAGATTTTTTCTAAAGCTTAAATTTTCAATGTCTTCATAGAATGTCTCTGAGCTATCATTTTAGGGCCAACCCCCAAGCAGATCACAACATCTACTCAAGAAGACAGGCATGTGACTCCTGTGCCAGCGTCTCCCCTGTTCACAGGGCCTTTGCTTCACAGGTCAAAACCTGTCCATCTCAAGAGTTTCTGCTGCTTTTCTCGTGATGCTAGAATGGCAGCAGCCCATGAATCAATGCTGTAGGCAGACAGTGGCATCCTGTGAACAGTGCTGCGGGCAAAGCCCGAGCCAAGTTCCCTTAGCTTCTCTTTGTTTAAGAAGTCATTTTTCTTCCTGATTTTCTCTAGGGCACTCTTGGCTTCCTGATGAATTTCCTCACTGGCTTAATTCTGTAAACCTTAGGGTTTGAAAACTCAGAACCCACCACTCCTATTCCCTCACATACTCTATGCTTATTTCTATTTTGTCTTTTGCTGAATAACCTGTCTCATGTGCATTAAATTTCTGTAGAACTCTGAAGTCCAAGCATTCTCTGAAGAAATCGAAATCACTTCAAATACTTATTCTTTAAATCATACTCGTCATTAATCAATTGGTAACCTGATTGTTTGAGTGAATCTGGATTCAGTATATCTAGCTTTTCTAACTGTCCTTCCGCACACCTCATTTAAGAGGACAAAGCTATTTTTAATTCATGTAGACTGTTGGTTTTTATGTTGGCCCATGCGCATATTGCTTTCTGTCAGTCTTTTTTTAATCAGAGCATATAGATCTCTAATATTAGTTCTTAAAAAATCACCCATTTATATTCTTAGAAATTAAAGAGCTACTATTTACATAGGTTTTATCTGTCAGTGTTTACTGTACTGGAAATTAAGACTGGGAACCTTAGAAAGGTTTCTGAATGAGATAAACTTAAAATGATGAGAAACTCCTTACACGTTAACACTACCTTTTGCTAAAATAACAGAATTCAAACCTTTGCTGTGTTAACTGCTCACTCACTATCATGTCACCTGCAAGTGGGAGCCTCATCTTAATCTTACTTAGAAAACAGCAGTAGCAAGCTGGAGCTAACAAATAGGGAACTCGAAGAAGGGTCTAAGTACAGTACATAAAGTACAGTACATACTCTACATCATCCTTTGGTAGGCACTGCTACAGTGCCCACGATGAAAGGGAAGATGGCCCACAAGCTCACGATTAATCACACTTGCTTGGAATAAATACCTGGTTTATGCCAAGGGACAAACCCAGGTTTCACACATACTGGACAAGCACTCTACCATAAGCTATACCCATGGCCCCAGACAGTAAACCTTCTAAACCAGGTCTGACTATTATGTTTCCTATATGAACATGTAGTCTATAGACAAAAAGATAAACTGTGATATGACCCCAAGTCGATGAGCCCTTGGTTCATCTCACATGGGTTCCTCATGGAAATATTTGGAAAGTGCTTAGGAAAATTATTGTTTCTGTTTTCCAGATGATAAAATTTGGAGCCGGAGAAGCTAAAGTAGCCTCCTTAGAGCCCACATGGGCAGGAAGTGACCAAGACAAGATTTTCTAGATGCTGGCCTAGTTCTACATGTTGATCCAAACCACAGCCGGGGTTTCCACTGACCTGAGGTAATTAAGTCAAGGGCAACAGGAACTCCAACGACCCTGGGGAGAAGCTGGGTTCCTCTTGCACCAGGAAGAAGCCCCAGCGTGACTTCTGGAAGGCCAACACGAGCCTACAAAACATAAAGGCAGAAAGACCACCATAAGGAGACAGTACAATGAGATGTTAAGCAAGTGTGTTCATGGCATCCTACCCATAAGAAACAGTTTCACTGAAATCTGCAACAGTGTCGAGAGGCAGTGTCTGCTGTCCCCTTTAACTGGTGTCTTTTCACACACCCTTGCTTGGGCACACTTTCCCCTTTGACTCCATAATGACACCCACAGATAACAAAGTAGCCTCTGCAGCTCTCAGGGTTCCTGCAAGCATCAGAATGTGAAGACAAAATCCAGAGGAGTGGAAGGCATGATACAGAGTGTCTCCCATCTCCACACGACAAAGAATATTCACAACTTAACAATAAAAGGACAACCGACTAATAATGGGCTGATTATCTGAATAAACAACACCCCAAAGAGGGCACACAAGTGGGAGATGATGCTCAGAATCATTAGCATTGGGGGATGTGAATGTAAGCCACGATGAAACCCATGTGATGCCTGCCAAATGACTGTAATAGAAAGGCAGGTGCCCGGCTGGGCAGCACAGACACTCGAACTGGAACAATACAGAGATGATTGGCATGGGAGCTGCCAAAGATGGCACGCACATTCATGAAGTGTTTCATAGTTTTCAACAGAGAAGGGACCATCATGGTACAAGTAATTCTCAGGGGGAAACAGTAAAAGTGGGGGGATTTTTAGTTAGGAAAGGGAAAGGTGATTAAAAAAAAAACAGAAGAGAGAAGAGGATATACTGTCAAGATGTTTGAAAGAGTCATAAAGTACCAAATTATTATCTATCTACCTAAGATTACATATAACACATCTGAATCTGTATCTACGTATACGTATATGTTTTAAATGGCATTTTCCCATCAGGGCTGACAATGCTACCCACAAGAGTCATAGTTTACTTAACAAAAAAACCTGACACCAGGCATGAGAAGTCCCTGTTTGAGCTGTTAGTCATGATGGCTCCAGAGGCTCCCAAAATACTGTAGTATCTTGTTTGCCTTTGGCTGTCTCCCAGAGATGGATGAGAAGTCCCTGTTGCTGGGACATTATGCACTTCAGAAACAGGGTCCCAGAGGCTGTGGAGCTGGAATTGATCTGAAAGCTTGTACACAGGCTTCCAAAGGAGGGAAGCAACCAACCATCTAAGCCAGCTATGTTGCTCATGAACCAAAACAAGCATCATGAGTGCTGTAGCAGCATCCATACCTTCATGGTAAACAGCAGCTCTCAAATTGGACGTAAGACCCGCTCAACCGAAGGGAAATCATCCCTGGAAATGGAAATCTAGCCAGCTACATGGCTAGTGAGACTATGAGCCTTGTCACTAACACAAGGGATCTTGGAGGGGAACCTACAACCACTACTTTACTGAAAGCATAATCACTAACTACATAGTAAATATTTGCCCTAATCCCCACAGATGAGTGTAGTCCTCACCCCTCATCGAGGAAGCATCCCTTTGTAACAACTGAAGACCATCCTAGAAAATCACAACCGATCAAAATGCAGAGTTGTGGAGTCCAGTCCCAGTGGAAGATCTACCAGACAACTCTGGAACCTAAGGCCCAGGGAACACTGTGAAGGGGCAGGGACCAACCGAGCACCCGCTCTCAAGATGCACAGGACTGTCAGCAGTAAATCAACTGTCAGCAGCCATCAGCCCCAGGCATAGGCCACACTTAGAGCTGGCACTGAAGACAAGGCCCACCCTAACTGCACCCCTGGCAGCCTCTTACCTTTGCGTCGGCAATCCGATAGTGACAGCCCAAGGCCAGCTCTAGTCCTCCTCCAAGAGCCACACCTTGGATGGCGGCCACCACCGGCTTCTGGTATCTCTGTATTTCATCTACCAAGCTTCCCAATGAAAGGCCCTGGGAAGATTGAAAGCCATGGATATCAGCACCTAAAGACACAGAGACAAAGGGAAGTGGTTCAGAAAGACTGAGCCTTGGTCACTAACACAAGAAAACCCAGCCAGTCTTAGAACTCAGATGCCTTGGGGCTGAGAGGTGCTTTGTTCTTGGGCCCTAAGTAGAAGGAAATGAGAGAAAAATCCAACCTTTCCAGTGAACCACGTAACCGTCCATATTCTGTGTTCCCATTTTGTAGAGAGAAGCCCTAAGTTTGGGGAAATTTAAAAGCTCAGAAAAAGAACTAGGTCCATTACTAAGTCTATCATTTTGAGAATCAGTGCCTCTTGCTGTTCACTAACCTATTTTAGGAGAATGTCATCCTTTCTTCGCTAAGAACACAAACCATTACATTGTAAGACACCAGAGTAAAAGGCAAACTACCTACAAGTTATGTTGGTAACCAGCTTAGTATTAATAGATTTTCTAAAAGCATTTTAAAAATGATTTATTTATTTTTGTTTTATAGGTATGGGGATTTTGTCTGCGTGCTATGTCTGAGCACATTCCTGCAGAGCCTGTGGAGGCCAGAAGAGGGCGCTAGATCTCCTAGAACTGGAGTTACAGATGGAGGTGAGTGGCCAGGTCACCTCAGTGTAAGCGGGAATCCAACCTTGCTGGGTCCTCTGCAAGAGCAGCCAGTGCTCTTAACCACTGAGCCATTTCTTCAGCCCCTGATAGATTTCTTATGAGTAAGAAGATTAACATGGCTTGTCTTTCTGGATTATAAAAATGATGGGGGAATTATAAAAATGACAAATTTGTACAACAGCCACCACGAAGGACCACCTAGAGACCACCACACAGAGATAAGACTTTGGTGAGAGCTTAGTCCTCCCATGCACATGCAAACAGACTTACGCTCTGCACGTGCAAGTTACTTTTTTTTGTCTCAATACCTATCTTGACTAACCTGAAGTTGAGTATGCATTTCTAACAAGGAGAACACACTGTAAAGCCTTTGTGTGTGTCTTTATGTGACAGAATAGGTAATTCTATAGTGTCTCCATAGGGCATCATGTATTCCTTGACAGCAGTAAGCTTGGTATAAATTTAAAGATGAACTATTTCAGGGCTGTCAGTGTAGCGGCTCAGAGCGTCAGCATGGCATGCAAAAGGCCCTGGTTTAGTCTCCAGGACTGCAAAACGGTTGAACTAAAAAGTAATTTTGTGTTCAACTTTTACCTGCTTCACCCCTTTCCCCTCTTCATCCCCATCATGTGACTACACCAGGCTATGAGCCGCACGGCCCCACACCCCATGTCCTTTAGGGTTCCTATCAACTGGCTTACATAGTATGATTGTCTGAATTACCAGTAAGAAATTTAAAGTTCTGAGTTAGTAACTGGTTGGTTGAGACATAGCAATTAAATTAAATATAGTATATAATAGCTTATGAAAACTTGTTACAGTAGCCTCAGGACACTGATTAGAGAAGATTCCAGGCCTCATCTCTCTCCTTCCTACAATCTTCTGGTAAAGTTGGAGAAGTATTTTTTAATTTGTAGGAGAGTTTGACTATGACGCCACCTGGGTCTAGAATTTATTTTGTGGGTTTTCTGATTACCAATTGATTATTTTATTTTATTTTATTTTATTTTATTTTATTTTATTTTATTTTATTTATGTCTGACTTATTAGAGTTGGTATGTAGCTCAGGCTGTGGGGAATTCATTGGACAGTTCAGGGATCCTCCATGTCCTGAGCTCACAGGCCTGTGCCAGCACACGCAGCTCTGAGTCCTTTTCTTTAATGCTTACACAACTGCTTGGGGTTCGCTTCTCTTTGAGTCACTTTCAGTAAATATATTTTTTCCTAATTCATATTTCTCACATCTTCGATGTTACCTGTTTGTTTTGTTTTTCAACTTTAAAAAAACGAAAAAAATTGTTGTTTGACAATTTCATACACCCTCAGCCTCTCTTTCATCTCGCCCACCCCTGCCAACACCTATTCTCCACAAAATCCCTTTCTCACATTCATGCCTTTGTGTTTTGCTTCCATTAGTTTAGCCAGAGCCATCTGCATTACCACAGGCTTGGAATTATCCATTGGAAGCTGGTGGCTAGCTGCGAGTATACAATGGAAGACATGAGTACCCCTCTCCCAGCATCTACCAGCCGCCAATAGTTCAGCAGGGAGAGGTAGGGCCCAAGTGCCCCTCCCCCCATAACTGTCTAAGGATAGGATCAGTCTTGTGCAGGCCCAGTACCGGTGGCTGTAACGGCTGAGAGTGTGTGATTACAATGACTGTGTCATGTCGGATGTTATTTTGTGGCCCTTCTTCCCTTCCATCTCACTGTGTAACCTGAACTTGCCTAGAACTCATTATATAGCCCAGGCTAGCCTCAAACTCATGACTCTCCTCACTTAGCCTTCTAAGTGCTGAGGACAGGACTACTGCCCAGGGACAGCCGATGTACTGCTGGGTGAAGTCTGGGTATAGTTCTAGAGATAATGAGAGATCTAGATGCTCAGTCACCTGCACAGAAGTTGTGATTTGCTCCACAGATCACAATGCCTCTAACCGTGTGGTCCAATCCAGCTTTCTGGAGTCCATTCCTTACTTCCGTGATTACAGTTGGACTAAAAGAAAATAAAATTCCATAAAGCAAATTAGTTAAAATTAAATTTCTACCATATTATTTCTTAATTAACGAACCACTGAACAGTTATGGTGGATAAAAAAAAAAATACAGATTCTTACCACAGAATTTTCACTATTTGTTCAAGAAATAAAATGTCTACTATCAATTAGGAGCCAGGCTGATACAATGAATCCACTTTAAAAAGCAATATTATTTTCCTCCCTTGTGCTCTAATTTTGATCATGAAAAGTTAGTAACCAGTTCTAAAAGTATTATACATGATACCGTAAGTATAGAGTTACCTGACAGCTATTGCCAACCACCATGCAAAGCTACGGTCTGAGTGTGGCGGTAAATGTACAAAGAAGGCAGGCAGCACAGAAGTTTGGAAGGGACGAATTTTCCTTCAATTTCTCATGCTTGTAAAACAGAAAAGATAAAGGTGAGCCTGTCTATGACACATGGCAGGGCTGCTAGTTATTTCAAACATCCATTCTCCCTCTCCCTCTTCTAATGCCTGCTTCTTAGCTGGATTCATGGTGGCCCAAAACAAAGACTACATTTCCCATCATGCTTTGCAGTACAGTCGGCCCTAGGTACTAAGTTCTCTGATACATGCAACATTAAGGAAGATTTCTGGAAAACAGTGGACATGATTTCCTACTTTTCTTTCCTTCATACTCCTGGCAAGAATACATGGCTGGACGATAATATTCTTCTTGTACCAAGAGGTAGAAGATATGTACGGAGAACGGCAAGGCAGACACACTGGGGTTGTGGAGCAGCATCTACTCTGGACTGCAGTGAGAGAAGTTACTAGTCCTTCTTTAATTCACTGTCTTTGAAAGGTTTCTGTCTGTGGAAGCCAAATTCCACTCTAGTTAATTTAGGAGGGAAAGGCAAGGGCAAAGAAAGGTTGAGCAAGGCCCCCAGTAGATGCTTTACCCAGGTTCAATATATGAGGGGGTACAGAAAATACAGCCAGCCCATAGGAGGATAACTGTCCCAGAGGAACAGGAACTCGAGCCAAGGGGACATCCTCCAGGTCTGTCTCCATTCAAGAAGTAGGGAAGACACAGTGATCCCATTCAGGAGAGTTAGTCACAAGAGAAAGAGAGAATTTGCCAAGTGGATTAGGATGATGAAGGACGGAACCTAGAAAATTATGGGCTGTCAGCTGCAAGGAAGACAGCAGCAAGTTCCAACAAGTTTTGCTTGGAATCCTATGTATTCTGGGCAGAATCTTCCTTCTGGTGTGGAAAAACCAAACAGTTACCGAAGAGGTGCTATGGTTAACAAGTCAAAGATCCTCAGACTACAGTAGATACCTGCCCTTATGAGTGATAATTACCTTTCACCCAGTTACTTTTTACCTACACACAATTAAACAAAACCTCCCACTCCTGACTTATTAATAGGAAATGGAATAAACAGAATCTGAGCCATTACAAAATACCGAGAAGTCCAAAAGGCTGAGGAGTTGTCCTTCAGTATCTGGGTAGAATGGCTTCCGGGAAACCATGCCCCCAGCCTAACAAAACCCCTCACACATTAAGTCTGGCAGATAAAATACTGCAGCACTCTCACACTCGCCATACAAATCTTCATTCCCAAACTACTTATGATAAACCATCAAATATGCACACCACACAGCTCGAAGCGCACTGTTTAGGGAATAATGACAAAAGCAAAAGGCCACATCCTCATTGGGAACTCAGCTGTTGTGGACAGAACACTATCTTCTCTCTGTGGGTAAATGGTAGTTATGGACCCCACAGCCAAACTGTCTTCATCTGGATTTTCCTCTCCTGGAAGCCACTGAGGAGAAGGCTAGGAATTCACATGGCAACCATCCTCTCCTCTTTTATACACATTTTTGGTCATTTTGAAAACTCATAAACAGAAAAGAAGAAACATGACTACAAATAACAGGCTGACTGGGCCGGATGAGGGATACCTAAGTGTCTCTCTCAGGCAGGAGAATGGATGCTAGGAAAACATGTGTGACCCATGGTCTGCTTTACTACATGAGCCCTTCCCACCTTTGGAATTATTAAAACAAAAACAAACTAAAACAAAACAAGCAGGAACAATCTAGAGTTTATTAAATCAAATTTGTGTAATTTTCAAAAAGAAATTAACAAATAAGAAAATAAAAGACTCCAAACAGATGAGGTTAGGTTTTGAGTTCAAGAAGCATTATTTTCAGCTGTGCTTTTGTGTATGTGTGTCTGTAGCTCAGGTAAAATGCAGTCTCTTACACAGGGCGGCTGTTCTAGAAATGGGAAGGGTGGTGCTCAGGGAAAGCTGTAGGAATACCTTCTTCAGAGACCCTAGACTGTGACCGAAAAAAAATTGGATAAGACAAATTGACGAATTTGACAAATTAAGACAAATTTGGTTAAGGATTTATAATAGTTTTGGGGAGAGAGAAGAAGAATTATTCAAACAGTAGCTCAGTGGGCAGTCATGGTGGCTCTCACCTTTAATCTCAGCACTTGGGATGCAAAACTAGTGGGTCTCTGTGGGCTCAAGGCTGGCCAGGGCTACATACTGTGGCCTTGTCTTTAAGAAAAGAAAAGGAAAAGGAAAAAAAAGAGAAAAGAAGAAAAAGAGAAAAGACTCAATAAGCTAGAAAGATAACTTCCCATTACAAAATTAAAATAAAAACAAAACATTAAAATAGAGGAAAAACTGAGAACATATTCACTTGGTGAACAAACTGCCCCTTGGTAAATTGGTGAGAACCACCTTAAAACAAAACAAGGAAGTCCTTCAGGAACAAAGGAGCCGCTTTCCCTTTGCATGACAACTACCTTTTCCCTAGATACTTTATATCTTTTAACCTATTGCTTTTGATTGCTTAATTAGAAATGAAATCTGATCAGGAAAACAGATCTTGAACCGAGCCACATTACAAGACACATGCGACGGCTGTGGGCACCCTTCTACGACCACTCTAGACTATGAAAATCCCCACCTGTGGAGGCCTGTGACAGAGGCGAGGATCAGCGCGTGAAGCCTATGGCCCTGGACTACTCAGATTTCTCAGAAGGTTTCCTAGGAAAAGTGATTGTACAGAAAGAGATGGAAAGCCTCTGTGTCTATCAGGCCTCAAGCACCCTGTGTGTAGTTACATTTTTTTAAACAAATCTGTTTTGGCTGAATGACAGATAGGAGACCCAGGGATTTGGAACATCACTGTATTTTCCTTCTGAGTAAAGAATGGCAGCCAGTGGTGGCTAACATCTGTAATCCCAGCACTTGGATGCTTGAGGTAAGAGGATTGTCACAAGTTCAAGGCCAGCCTGCATTACAAGGTGAAATCTTGTTTCAAAAAACCAAAGCAAACAACACCAACAAACCTTCAGACAATAATGAAAGATTGGCCTCAACTAAAATCACCTCACTCGGTGGCATGAGGAGAGACTGGCTTTTTCCATCCCAGCCACACATCCCTTTTCATGGATGGTTTTGGTAACATTGAAAACTAGAAGCTCAAAAACTAGAAATAAAGAGAAAGGATGGCTGCTCTAGGGAACACACACACACACACACCCCTCTGTAATCCACTGTTTCCAGGACCAGGCCTGGTCACCAACTATGTGCTAAACCTACACTTGGCCAACACCCATCCAAACTCAAGCAAACGTATCTAGCTAAACTCAATGAGGAACTCAAACTGTTTCTCCGGTAAAACTCCAGATTACCCCAGTAAGCACCTTTATAAGTGTTTTCTTTCTCCTGATTAGGGTACTTTTCACCCTTGAAATAAACACCCTTGCTTTTGACTGGTTAATTAGCAACTGTATCGTGACACAGCTTGAGAACTGTACATAATACTTACAAATCCACAGAGCATATGCATTTCCCTCTGCATCTGTGGGAAATAGGCTTCCCCAAGGCACCTAAATCCTCATATAGTGAAGTCCCTAATAGGAAATGAGATAGTACTCCAATGTACACACATCATCTTGAGACAACTTAAAATAGCCCATAACCTGGAAACACTATGTAAATATGTGTTAGACTTCACTACTCAAAAACTATTTGCAAGGGAAAAATAATCTATGTGTTCCTTAGGGAACCTTCCATGGTGGATGTGACCAGTTCCTCACCCAGGGTTGGCTGAATGGCAGCCATGAAAGCCAGAGGGATGGCTATTTGTCCTCCTGGATTACGTATGACCCCAACTGAGGCAAAACAACTTCTGTGGACACCATTAGGGTGGGGTATTGGTTCTTCCCATTTTACCTAGCCTCTCTTCTTTAGGTTTGTAGTAATTTGGAGGAAAGTTCATAAATCGGAAAATCTGTAAAAGGAAAATAGCTGTGTTTGGTTTTCTCTAAGGTTAAGGGGAGAAAGGTAACTAGGGGAAAGGTAATTCTGAGCCACAGGGTCAAGCGTCTCCTGTGTTGCCTGAGGAATGCTCCAGCTTTAAAGATTCAGGTGATTCAGGAGGAACCATAGGAGGGGAGGAAAGACCCCAGCAGCCAGGACAAGTGTGTCATCATCTCCACACTGCCCGGAAGAGAGGACACAGCAAGGAGACGAGTGCCCACTGTGTGGGGGCCACAGAGAGAGGAGACATTTCCTGAGTGCCCATGTGTCCTTCAGCTTCTTTGACCACTACTGGATTTTCATTTTCAACCATTGTTTATTTTTTAAACCTTAGCTTTATCAAATTAAGCCTCATCTAAAAACAATCAGTATTTTTTTTTTTCAAAAACAGAAACGTAAGAAAATATGCCAAAGAAACCTCTAGGGGTAAGTTTGGTTAAAAAAAAAAGTTTTCAGTTATGAGAGTGTGTCTTCAGTTCTAACATAAAACATAAGGTTTCTTACTATGTGAATTACAGAAGAAAAAAAGCCGTGGTCATTGTTTTCAGAGGCCAGAGCTCTTCTACACTGCACACTTAGACACGGGCTAACACACATGTGGGCTAACACACATGTGAAGACAGGCAAGTGTGGCTAATCTAGCATTGAATGGGCCTGAACTATTTCTTTGGAAAAACCCCAAATCATTTCAATTAGCTTATCTCACCTAGCTAGGAAGATGTAATTTCAAACAAACAATCAAAAATAGAAAAAGGCTGAGGAGCGAGGGAGGGAGGGAGGGAGGGAAGAAGGGAGGGAGGGAGGGAGGGAGGAGAGAAAAGCATTTTCTTAAGTGGGTTATCTGTACTTTTAGTGAATTAGCTGTCAAGGGACAAAACTCCCTGATCTTTACCCACAGGGAGAAAGATCCTCAAAGAACCAACTTATAGAAAGAGCATTTGGCTAAGACTAGCAACTAAGAGTCCAAACCTCAGGGGATACAGCCGGCTGGCGCTTGCCCTTGTGTACGGTGGTTGCCATCCCCCAGTCTCTTCTCCCTTTAACCTGGAGAAAAGCAAAGAGAACCTCTCCCTTTCCACTGGCTACTTGGAAACCCAATCTGATCGTGAAATAGATTTAAAAGCATTACATAATACTTAGAAGTCCAAAACTCACATGCATTTGCTCCTCATCACATGTATGTGTGGGAGACTGGTTCTAAGACTTTCCATCCCTCCCAGAATTCCAAATTCCTCATAATGTTCAAGTCTCTAATGCAAAAGCCTCATTCTACATATAAAATATATTAATTTCTAGACTGTTTATAATATCCCAGGAAATGGAAATGCTTGTTAATAGTTTTTATACAAGAAAAAAAAAAGAGGTGCGTGGATGCATGCGTGTGTGCATGTGAGCGTGCATGTGTGCGACACTTATTTATTCTGCTGTTGTGCAGCTATTGCCTTGGGATTGAAGCATTCCCTCCTGAAGGAAGCGAAGGGCTAAGACTGGGGGACCTAAAGAGACTGACAGGGCTCTGGAAGCTAAACACTGATGTTTACAATGCTCAAGAAGCTCAGAAACTTGCAAGATTCATAAGACCCCTCCCCAAGGATACAGGAGCAGAAGCAATTGTGAGGAGGGCGCTCCCCATGAGTCATCTTGTTGGGCTTTCCAGGGGTTCCGTTGTTTTGGAAGCAATTATATTCTGGTAACTAATCTCAATAAAGTCACTAATCTACTGAGCTAGGCTTGGGTGGAATTGTTTATTTGGCCTGTCACAGATGCCCTCTCTCAGGTGAATGGTTAGTTGCTCTCATCCGTTGTATAGGACTATTCTCCCAGCCAAACTGCTGCAAGTTTGACTCAGCCTGTTTGCCAAAGATCAATGCTGGGCTTGTTGATGGATGACTTTCATGGAAGGATGGGACCAGAACACGGTCTGACTATCCAGCCACCCCTCTTTGTCCTAATTGTACCCTCGGGCCTCTGGGAAGGACTGGAGGATAGAGGTGGGGAAGGATTGGAGGAGGGGGCTCTTAACAGCCATGGGGAGTCACGATCTTTGCTGTGGAGGGCCTTCCAATGTGGCAGCTCTAAAGTCACTCATGCTGGTGCCCCCTACCCCTGCACCACCCTGTTCTGAAAGTAAGCCTAAACCCATTGCATTGGTCCCCTGTAGAGTGAACAGGGCTGGAACAGCACCTAGGTTTGTCTTTTAAGCTGTAAGGTCTCACCTAGGAAAAGGGTTTTAGCAAGGTCTCACCAGTAAAATTATACAGTATCTATCACAATCCTGTCCATCACTTCTGCAATGTATGGGTGACTCCTCCGGAGGTTAATATAGAATTATACTCGATTTGCCGGTGATAGGGAGCGAACAGGGTAAATGAACATCATTTTTCAAAAAGACAACAGATCTGATTTTTAATAGTAATGTGCTAAGTGCATTGCACAGGAGGGCATTGCAGGTGAAGTAAACGAAACTTCAGCTTTTCAGAAAATACTGTTCAGTAGGCCTCCTCTAACAGGGAGAGTTGACACGCTCGGGAACCAAACTCTGCTCTTCTACGGGTCAGCTAAGTATAGCTTTTGACTTCATGGGGTTGCAAGCCGGCAGGAGGGTTGAAGGAAGGGGGTTCAAACAGACACTTGCTACACCAGCCTCACCTCTTTAGGTTCCTGACTCGCCAGAACCAGACGTGAGCGCGCGGTGAGGTCAAACAGCGGACGGACGGAAGGCTGGAGTCAGCTGCTCATTGGCCCATCCTTCCCGCTGAGACAAGCCCACCCAGACCTGCCACACCCGCTGTCCCACTAACACCGCGTTACCTGATGGAATTGACTGGCGGATTGCAGAGGCGAATCATCGCCAGGGAGTGGGGCAGCCTCAGATATTCAGCCATTTTCTCAAGGAATCCTGCGCCTCCGATGTCTGGGGCAGCCCCGGGCACCTTTTCTGGGCCGCCCTGAGAGGAGGGGCGCGCGCTGGGCCAATGGGAGCCGCTGCTACCTCCTCCTGCCTCTTGCAACTCTTGCTTCCTCCCGGGCTGCGCTCCAAGGAGGGTGATCCTCCTGTGCTAGCAAAAAGAATGTTCAAAGGCAAGCCGAGCTGCTTGGTCACACCACATGTTCACAAACCAGCCATTAACCAGAACACGAAGCCCGGCCTTCCCCGGACTGGGATTTTTCACAGTTCATCCACGAACTGCGCACATATTATGGGCTAGAAGTAGGTTGGAAACTGACAATAAACCATGCCTTGTCTCTTCCCTCTAAAAGCTCAGCCTGGGACATGGTCCTTCCAGCTGCGTATGCTTCTCATGATTGCCAAAGTCCACCAAGTAACCAGTGTGCAGGTTGACAAGTAAAACCGTACTTGTAAATCTTCGCTGATGTTTCACACGTTTTAACAATGTCTAAATATTATTTCCAGGTATGTTACTTCTTGAAATTAAGAAAGGGTCTGAGCCGGGCAGTGGTAGCGCACGCCTTTAATCCCAACACTTGGGAGGCAGAGGCAGGTAGATTTCTGAGTTCGAGGCCATCCTGGCCTACAGAGTGAGTTCCAGGACAGCCAGAACTACACAGAGAAACCTTGTCTCGAAATCCACCCACCTCCTCCCCTCAAAAAAAAAAAAAAAAAGGAAAGAAAGAAAGAAAGAAAGAGAGAAAGAAAGAAAGAAGAAAAAGAAAGTGTCTGACTAGTAGAAAAATGCAGAGTCCCCGGAAGCCCCAGTACGGAGCATTGGTCAGAGTCATTCCAATAATCATAGCCCACATATCAAGGGCAGTCAGCCACTCAAAGTATGCCTTCAGATGGCAGCGATGACAACAGCCTATGAGGGGACAAGCAGCTACTTACAAGTGACAGGAATCCCTGTCTACTGCCTCTAAAACCATTCCTAGTCCCCCAGATTCTCCTGTGTTCTGTTAGTGGAAGTATTCACAGCCAGATCAGGCCTCACTTCCTATAAGAAGCATTACTTCAGCTTTGTCTCCCTTCAGATACTGGTGTGTAGGAGAAATCCCTTTGTCACAGCATCCTAGGAACCTGAGCAGGTAGAGTTCAAGGTTGAATAGCACTGAGTGGCCTTGTTACACCCCACCCCCTTGGAGCAAGGGGTGATAATAAGTCCTCTTCGAAGCCATCTCCAGACACTTTAAAATCTCCATCTTGTAGGGAGTCGGTCACTGGCTGTTAGGTCTGCACTTTTATTTTAGTCGAGCACAGAACTTTCTGTGGTGTCTTCCACAGTGGGCTTTTGGTGCAAGCTTCTATGTAAATCCATTAAACTGCTTGGTTGTTTAGAGTTGGCACCTCAGTGGGAGCAGAGCCAGCAAAAGGCAGCTGAGGCATTTATTGGACAAAGTTCAAAGGGCAGTTCCTATCAGGTTCAGCTAATGCTGACACTGCCTGCTCCTCAACAACAGAGCCACCCACACTCCTATCAATGAGTCCCTCTGTAAGTGTCACACACTTGGAGAAATAGGGATACAGCTAGGTGGCAGCATATTGATTTTTCCTGATGGTATAAAATTGTCTACATGTATGGGTTCCAAATTTGCTGAGTTCATGGATGCCAATTAAATATGTTCTACCATGTTGCTGTGTGTAGACAGTCTTTTGATCATGGGTGTGACCTTCCTCATCCTTCTGTTCTTTTACTTAATTTGTCTTACAAATGTAGCCGTACTGTTGGCTACTTTCGTGGATTACCTACCATCCTTCTTCACCCCAATCCCTTCCAACCCAGTAATACTAGGTGAGTGAGGGAGAAAGTTAGAGGGAAAGGGGGCGTAGATCTCTTTAGAATACTTCCTGCTGATAAAGGGCATCAAATTCCTTGGGGGCAAGTCCAAGCTTTGTCATCAGGATATCCAATCTCTTCTTCTCATCTCTTTGCTCACAGCAGCAGGGGAGCAGCAGCCTCCACAAAGCAACAGGACCCAGCACCAGCAGCAGTGGGGCAGCAGCCTCCACAGCCTCTGGCTCTCTGGCACTTTTATACTCTCTCAAGAGTCCCCAGAATTCCAAATGTAAACTATTTTTAGCTGGCAGAGTCACACCCCTGCCAGAGCATGAGACAAATCACAGTCAGCTGCTATGGAAGCAGCCCCATGTCCCATACCTGGGATCAAAACAAAACATATTCACATACCAGACCTGGTATTAAAAAACAAAACAACACAAAATTCTCACCACACATACAGTACTACTTCACAGGATATCATTGTCTTGGGCAAGCACCCCACACCATCTGTATGGTGCCTCGTGGCTTAAGAACATGGCTTTCACTGTAGCAACTGCATCATCTTGCATCCTCAGTTCACACAGTACCTGAGGTTTGTTAATGCTTCAAAGAAATCATTGTAAGCACTGAAACCACTTCAGTGTCCACAGGGTAAATGTTGAACACTGTCACAAATACTGAATTTTTGCCTGCTGGACCATGCAGGTTTCTCCCTATGCAAAGAACAGGGGTGGCTATCTCTCCCCATCTCCAGATCCTTATCCACTGAAAAGCTCAATTTGTTTTCTGGCAAGCAAAGATTACTTGGGATAGTTTAAATTCAGTCTAATTGAAAGGAAGGAAAATATTCAAGAGTCACTAATGGCCATTCTCATTTTAACTTTGCATTATGTAAGTTTTAAAGCATGCACCAAAAGTAAGAATATCACAAAACAACAACATCAGTATGTGACCATTTTGTTCATTGTTATCATCTTGTGTTTTACACTAAGTCCACTCACAAAACCGTGGTGTTTTGGCATTGGCTCTGCTGAACATGGTGTTATGGTACTATGGTGGTTCAAGCCTTCAATCCCAGTACTCAGGAGGCAGAGGCAGGAGGATTGCCATGAGTTTGAGACCACCCTGGGCTATATAGATGAGGCCTCAAAACAAACAAACAAGTATGATGTAATGGCTTCCTCTCCATTCTCTCTAGATTCCTCTCTATTGTTTCATCTTTCCATTCTAAACTCACCACCGTACTTTAAAAAGAAATTTTAATAGGTAAAAGGGCAGGACACAAGAGGTGGAGAGAAAAGCCCAGAAATATTCCAGGAATTTATTTACTTTTTTACTCATTCAGCAAATGTTTAAGATCTATCAGCTTCCAAAGTCTTGGGGCACTCAAATGTAGGTAATAGGTTACGAGGTCAAAGGAGAGATGGGTGTGAGGAGCAGGAGCAGAGAAAAAGAGACAGACTGACTCTTTACCTCCTGACAGTGGCCACAGTGGTCAATTGTACTCATTTTCATATGACACAGAGTATCATGGTGTTTATTCATGAAAGGTTTTTTTTAAGAAGTGAGGTGATTTATTTAAAGTTACATGGCTGCTAACATGGATGCATTCTGAGGAACCGGATCACACAGCTGTGTAGCCTAACAAACTGAGATCTCCAGTGTAGACCAGCAGCTTGGAGTCCTATGAGGATTGGTGCTGTAGCTCAAGTCCAAAGGCAGATAGATACCTGGAGGCAGAACTGTGATTTCCTCAGGACACCCACCACAACCTTTTCCTTCTTAAGACCTTCAACCACTTGGACAAGGAGTTTTGTATGTTTTATTCAAAACGAACTAACTGGGGATAGAGAGATGGTTCATCAGTTAAGAGTACTGGCTGCTCTTCCAGAGGACCAGGGTTCGATGCCCAACACCTACACGGAAGCAGTCAACTGTCTGTAATTCCAATCTCAGAGGCTCTGAGTCCTTCTCTTGAACTCTTTAGGTATCAGGCTTTCACATGGTTCATGGGCATACATGCAGGGAAAACACCCACACGTAAAAATACATTTAAAAAAACCAACAGATGCAAATGTCATTTCCATTTAAGAAATTATTTTGCAGAAACACCTAAAATGTTTCATCAAATAAATAGCTTCTGTGACTTAATCAAGTTTACAAAGAAAATCAACTATCATAGAAGACAGGTGGTGAGATTTGGTTCTGTGCATAGGAAAAGAGAATTATCTGGGTTTTGTTTTAAATTTTTATTTTATTTTTAAAAAGGAAAATAAACTGTTGCTTTCTCCCTTGCTCAAGCATGACAATCAGACAGAAAGAGACGTTAGGAACCATAACATCTTCAAGATAAAATGTCCTCATTAAAATAGACAATGATAAGAGACACTGTTCCCTGGGCTTTAGGCAAAAAAGACCTGGCTCAGAGTCCCAACATTAGAACTATGGCCACCTATTCTAATATGCCATCCAAAGCAATGAGTGGAGTGAAGGGTCACAGAAAGTAGGTTTAATCAGTGCGGCATGCTGGGAAGACCTGATAAATGGGTTCGGTGACTGCAAGCCTGTCTTCCAGGGACTAACAGGAACACTACAGTTTTATGCAAGAGATATGAAGGCAGAAATAGGTTTGTGACTAGCTGACAGAACAGTTGATCTTGGTTGTGCCAGTGTTTGGTTATCTCAGCTCTGGTTCCACAGTAAGGTTGTAGAAAGTTGTCACTGTCATCACCTAAGTGGGACAATCTGGTTCCCATGAGTGTTCCCACTCTGGGGTACAACCTTGTCACCATAGATAATTGTGCTCATTGTAGACATGGAGGGTGATCTGTCCTGAGAGGTCACCTGCTCATGAGGATTCTTGCCAATCAGTCAGCCCTGTTGTTCCTAGAAGCTAAGGTAAATAGAGAAAAGAGTGGCTAAGACGAAGTTCAGGAGACAAATAAAGATCCTGAGAGGAACCTCCTTTCAACACACGGTTCACAGTCCCTGAGTCCCTTGTAGCTGCCTATGAGATCGATGTGAATCTTGATTGCTTGACATTTTTGAAAGTCTGGTTTTTAATGATTTAAATTTTGATGAAAACATTATCAGATTGAATTTCTAAAACTTAAGCTATGCTTTTTGGGGGAGCAGAGGGAAGTGTCATTGGTCGAATGATGGAACTAGATGTCCCTATAATTATGCTAACATTGAACTATCTTTCCATCAAGGGCTGCCTCCTTCCCGAGGTAGGAAACTTCCTTAAGCAAGTGTTCACTGTATGCTTTTTTCTCTAGTGTCCCTGTGCATCTTGTATGAATAAATGATTAATAAATGGAATTAAGGAGACACAAATTCTAAGATCACACTGGCTAACTTTGCATCTTGTAGCAAATTACTGAATCCCTATAGTCAAAAAATGCATCACAAATATCATTGTGTCTAAACCAGGCATGGTTGCGTATGCCTGTAAGATCTGTTAACACTAGGAGGAGAGCAGTCTGAGCTATACAGGGAGACCTTATCTCAGAAAAACAACAAAAGTCATTGTTCTAATAAAATATAGCACTGGAAACACTTCATCTAGTCTAGCTATATTATTCTGCAGGTCTATGGGTGGGGGGAGGTTATTCTGGGTTATTTGGAACACTGACCTATCACCCACATTTCAACACTACTACTAGCTTGCTTTGTCATCTTTCTAAACAAGTTGAGATGTTTCTTTGAACTACAAAACAGTAAATCAAACCCTGCCCTGTTAGTGGCAGTACATTCATAGCCTGCTAACATTCTAGAACTGCAAAAGTCTGTAATTTGTTCCTATTAACCAGTTAAAAACGAAGGCAGCTCCCTGCTTTTCAATATGAGGTTTGTGGACACACACACATCCCTCCTTATTGATGAGAATATCCACTTTTTAGGAACAGCTTAAGGTCCTGCAGTTGTAGTCGTGGTTCTTCCCTTTAAGCAAGGTAATTCAGCAAATGTTTTCAATCAAATTGACCTTCCAAAGGGGAAGGTACTCAGTATCATCTGCTAACCACTGAACAAAAGTAGTTCCAGTCTGCCATACACGTATGTGTTCCAGTGCGGAACAAGAAAGTATATCACATCATTAGGAGAAAAAAAAACCTGTTAATGTTCATTGCAGTATGTTGGAACGTTCTATGCATTACCTCAAGTAACACAACAGCCTCAGGTTGTGGGTACTAGTGTTTTTCACAGTTGGGTTAGGCTCACATAAGTAAAGTAGCTTGCGCTTGTAACACAACACCAACACCCTCAGAAGTGAAATTGGCTGCACGACATCCGGCAGAGACATCGGACTCGACAATCTCGTGAATTTGTCCAAACGCCCCGCTAATTTGGATTGGAACGGTGAGTTTAAGCACGGACGAGAGTCTGTAGAATAAAGGAACTGGGTCACGCAGCCCAGGACCCGCAAGTTTAAAATACGGAGCCCAAGGCCGAGCAGTGTGCCGGAAGTGACGTCATACGCGGAAGTTATGGAGGCGTAGGCGGCGCCTGCGCGTTGGGGCTGCGCTGGGGCGGGTGTCCAGCGCTGTAGGAGGAACGCGGTGGGAGGAAGGCTTGCGGGCGAGCGGACTCGGCTTCGGGCCGAGAACTTTGAAGAAGTAAGTGTTCCAGGAACCTGGTGGCGCTAGAGGGAGTTGGCGACTTGGCTTCTGGGGCAGTTGCGGTGCGCTCAGCTAGGCTTGCTGCCTACTCCTGAGCCCGTGGTAGAGTAGGGGACAGCGACCTGGTCTTCTGGAGGTCTTGCGAGAGGTGGATACCTGCCTGCTGGAAAGGGTTTAGACAGAGTGAAAAGCCCGAGTGGCGCAGCCGCCGAGTGCATCCCGGGTGCCAGCATCCTGCCTCTGAATGCCAACGAGACTCCAGGGTACTTTGCTTACCTCCTCTCTACCCTATGACGCTGGTGCAGAAGAAAATCCGTATGCGTTTTGTTTTAAAGTTGGTGAAAGGTACAAAGGGGTCCTAATCTCTTGATGGAGAGGATAAGGCGCTTATCTACCTTCCTGCGGCTACCTTTATTTTTCTGGGAAGGACTGGAGTGTGATACCAGGAAGGTTATCGAATAATAAGCCGCCTTAGTCGCACCATGTTGGTAGTTGATGTTATAAATGCTCTCTTTTCAGCAGTGTAAGCTTTCTTTTTCTTAAAGATTTCTTATGTTGGTAAACTATTCGAAAGATGGATGAGAGTTACAACGAATATAAAAACAGTAATTTATAAATTTCTAGTCGGGCTCCACCTACTGTGTATAGTCACAAGGAACGATTGTAGCAGCCCCCCAACCCCCTCAAAAAACCCTTGAAATTTAAAATGTTTCCTTTGTTAAAAGCTCCATTAAATATTATGAAGAGTCTGCATGTGCCTCGCAAAAACAAATACTGTAACCACCTTGTTTGGGCTATCAAATGAAGTCCAGTGCAAATGCTCCATTGGGCTGTGTAATCAGATCTCAGCAAGAGTCACCACCTACGTGTAGCCCCAGGGAGGTGGCTGTGTGCAGGCTATCAAATAAATAAAAGGTAGATCTTGAGAGGTCCTCAAATTGTGTCATTAGATTGGATAGAGTGGGGTTTGGAGACCATGAGTTTATGTTGCATGGTTGTGTTTTCCCTAAGAAACTAGCAAGCATCTTTAGGTTTTAAATCTAAGCTTTTCTTCAAGTCAGTTGAACACTCCAAAAGCAAACAGCTTTTTGCAGTAAAATTTATGTTTGTTCACATTTAAATCTTCGTCTCACAATTCCTGGACAGTACTGATACTCTGCTCACCCCCATTTTATACTATTACTGTGCCGCTGAGTTAGAATATATTTAAATATGATAAAAGTCATTTAAATTTTGAGATCTAGGTATTACTGTTTTCTTGGCCACGTCAACCATGCTCAGAGTCATGTCCACTAAACGACGTATCTAAGTGTCCATGTGGTATAGCTGCTATCCATAGTGGATTGATCCACGTGGTAACCTAGGTATGTGCATTGACAGTTTTGAGGTTTTTGGTTTTGCAGAACCCTGCTACCTACGGACTTTGCTATGGATATCATGTGAAGAAACTCTGGATGCTGTAACAGACAAAACATGAGTCAATTTGTGTTGTGGCATTCAAACCCTAACACATTGGGAGAGGTAAGTTGTTGACTGTGTTTTATTTTAGGTGATATATTAGAATAGTTCTGTTGACTCAGACATTTCAAGACGGAAGAAAAAATTAGGCCTAAATCTCTGTTTTTAAAATCAGGATCTTCCAAGGCAAGACATGCTTTGTTTGTATGCTGGTGTGACTGTTTTCCTGTTGAGGAGGTCAAGATTGAAAGAGAGAAACCAGGTTTACTACAGAAAAGATACTTCTCTGCCTTTCTTTTTCTCTGCCTCCCTTTTGGGAGTTCTTCTTCCCAGTCTGGCAGTACTAGCTCATGGTTACTATGTTACGATAAAGGCTCAAATGCTCATCTAAATCAGGTGCTGACCGAGATTGTCTGTGAAATAGTACATGTCTCAAACCGGTTGAGAGTAACTATTTTATGCAAGAGAAACCATGTCTTTTTTTCTTATCTTGCTTTATTAAGTCTTATATATAATTTCTCCCCTTCCCAATTTTTTTATGATCTCAATCTTTTTATCTTTCTGTCCCAGGGATCATGTAAAGTTTCCTTCTCCCTCCTTCTTTTTTTCCTATTTCTATTTTCCTGATTTGTTACTCTACTTCTAACTCTGTGTTAATGTTTGGCATCTTTTAATCACTAAGGATTTAATTCAAAGATATTTTCTTGTCTCCTTTGTAGATACGCTGTTCTCTTGTTTAAATTTGCTTAATTCTGTTAACAGGTGGTACTTGTAATAATTCATCTTACACACATAATTGTGCTTACAAATTATGCATATGATGACATCACAATATTGTTTGAAATAAAAAATGACAACTAGAAGTAAACATGCTGCAACGGAGACTTAGTTAAACACTCTGCAGCTAATGTTGCATGAAACACTGTACAGCTTATGTTGCATGGAACACTCTGCACCTAATGCTGCATGGAGCACTGCAGCTAATGTTGCACGAGACACTCTGCATCTAATGTAAATAATGAAGTGGAACCACAGAGGCATATGTATAAGAATCTGCCTAGATCCATTACTAACTGAGAAAAGCACTAGAGAACTATGTGTTCAGCATGTTTTCATTTGTAGCTTTAAAAGCACCATATATTTGTATATGCACATATACATACACGCATACATGTGTACATGCCTATGTACATATATAGATAGGTTTCTTCAAACCTAAACAAACAGTAGATGTATAAAGGAGGAAGAATTAGGTAGTTTCTTTATACTTTCTGCCAGCTTTGCTTCCTTTGCTGTCAGCATGTTTTTTCACAATACTATGAGACAACAAAGCTGTGGCCAGTTTACTAAACATAGGACCCATCACTAACCCCTAGGACTGTCTTCACTGCAGCACTGTTAGGACTAAGGCCACACAGTGCTCTGTTCCTTTTTCAGAGCTGAAGGGATGGCTTGGTGACATTATGTAGGGTTTTAGACTTTCACATTAGATTGGTACTATTAATATGAACTCATGCTGCTGAATTCAGTACTTATGCACAGTGCATGGTGTATGGCTCTGACTTGACCAAGTGCAGTGGTTGCTCTCGCCTCTGCTTGCAAGGTCGGTTTCTCCTCTTCCCTATGGTTCATCTGAGCCATCTGAGCGGCTCGGTGTCACTGAACAGGATGAGGTCTGTTTCAGTTAAGTGTTTTGCATTCTTGTGGTATTAAAGATCAAACCTATCGCAGAACAGCAGGACAGCCAGGCTACACAGAGAAACCCTGTCTCGAAAAACATTAAAAAAAAAAAAAGATTCTGTTTGTAATGTTGAAAAAGGGAAAGGTAAAAAGCTCAATTTATTGTTTTCCCATTTCAAATAAAGTAGGCCCTTATGCCTTTCCTAACATTTAAGTTGTGTATGACCATGGTTCAGTAGACCTTGTTAACATGTAAAAGCATGAATATACAAAACTGATTTAATTATAGACATACTTTAAAGTATACAAGAACTTCTTCATTTTGTGTTTTATTGTTTTGTTTATATAAAGGTATACCCTGATAAGGTAGCTTAGCAGAGTTAGGGATGTTTTTCTTTTCTGTTTTTTTTTTTCCCATAAAATATAAGATTGTGGAAGACCTGAGGAAACTTATGGAGTACATTTGTTCTCTGTCTACTTTGGGTCCAGATTGATTCTGAATGAAGAAGTAGAACCAGTCAGTGGTAGGACGGACTATGCTTGAGAAGATGAGCTCTTGGTGCTTAGGATAGCGGAAGTGAGCCTGGAGGTCAGGAGGTCAAGGTGTGGCAGAGGGGCTGGCATTGAATGATTTATAGAAGTTTTTACTATGGCATTGTAAACTGACTTACTATAGATGCATCTCTATGCCTAAGTTTAGTTAGTAATACCTTAGTGTGTGTGTGTGTGTGTATGCCAGAGGTAACGATTGATGTCAGGATGTGTTCCTCAATCACTTCTCACCTTATTTTTTCAGACAGAAACCGGGAGCTCTCAGTTTGGACTAGGCTGGCTGGCCAGTAAGACCCCAAGATCTTCCTGTTTGCACTCTTGGTACGAACTAGGGTTACAGATTCGATGTCACATGATGTTTCATGATGTTACATGAGTTCTGACCTTGATGCACGTAGCAAGTACTTTTCCAACTGAGGAATCTCAACAGATTTGTTTTAAAAGATTTATGTGTGTATATGGGTATATCTGCACACCAGAAGACAGCATCAAACAACTGTGAGCTGCCATCTGGGTGTTGGGAATTGAACTTAGGACCTTTGGAAGAGCAGTGAGTATTCTTAACCATTCAACCATCTCTTCAGCCTCCAACTCAGCAGTTTTTTAAAGCTTGAAGTTTTTCTTGGAAACAAAGCAAGCAGACAAAGTGAAAAAATAAAAAGGCAGTTGCAATGTAAGTAAATCATTGAACTTAAAAATCTTTTTCAGAGAATGGAGAGGTGGCTTAGTGGCTAAGCAGTACTTGCTGCTCACCTACAGGGGGCAGAGTCTGGAGCCCAGCACCTATGTAACAAGCCCTGCGTCTGGCAGACAGCTATTAGTGTAGCTCCAGATCCAAGACATCTGCTACCCTGTACTCATGGAGGTGCACATCTGCTTACACACGTGTGAATGCCCACACATGTGTGCTTGCCCACACATGTGCACAGTCCCCCACACAAATAGATATATTCATGAATTAAATTACATTAACTCTCAAAAAAAGCCCACTCCAGAAAGATCTAAGAAGGGACAGAACAGACGCCCTTTTGTTCCCTATAGGATACAGTCCGTTTATAGTTATCAGCTTAACTGCTGGAATTTCAGATGGCTACAACTTTCCTTCAGTTCTGTTGTACAAGCTTACAATATTTGTGATATATGTTTTCCATTTGGGACTGGAAAATTATTCTGAATTTTTCCTTTTGAAGGCTTTGGTTTTTTTTTTCATTTGCATGTGTGTACACGTGTATACATATGTACGTACACACACACACACACACACACACACACACACACACACACACACGTTAAAAACAAAAAACAAAACCTTTCCCCAGATAGGTGTGGTGCATACCTGTTATTCTACCCATTAGTAAGTTAAGACAGGAGGACTGCCAGAGTTTGAGGCCAACCTGGACGTATCAGGAAACATGCACAAAAAGGCTTCAAACCGCAGTCTCTTCCTGCTCTACAAATTCAATTTGAGTTTGTGCTTTCTTTTCTAAGGAACGTTTTTACTTTGCTCTTGGAGGCTAAAGCTTTCGAAACATCTCATACCTTGGCTGTCAGTCAGAGATTCAAGAAAGTATCATTAAGTCATTGTGTCTGAGTTCAGCCTCTGAGTAGTTCTGTGGAACTTCCAAATCTGCTGCGGTTTGTAGCGGATAATAATAACCAGCAAGGTTAAGCCTGTAGACACGTGTGTGCTAGATATTTCTAAGACCATTTCTTAAATGTTCTCATTTTGCTCTTCTAGTGTAGTTCCTCATGATCTGACTAATTGTTTCACCTCTACACACTTTTAGACTTGCTAGTCGATTTTTTTTTTGTTCTGTTTTTAAGCATCAAGTACCAAGATTTTGAAGATCATGGCCTGTCCTTATGCATTCAAGAGTTGAGTGTGGATGACTTCCAGCTATAAAGCCTTGCCACAGGCTTTATGTGTCATGCGCATTGAAGCTCTGCATTAAACCCTCTCACACATGGAAATGCTCCAAGGGACTCAAGTCCATTAGTATAATACAGGGGTTTTTTGTTGGGTTTTGTTTTGTTTTGTTTTTCGAGGCAGGGTTTCTCTGTATAGCCCTGGCTGTGCTGGAACTCAGAAATCCGCCTGCCTCTGCCTCCTAAGTGCTGAGAATAAAGGCGTGTGCCACCACTGCCTGGCTTCATTAGTACAGTTTTTATGTCTCTTTCTTCTACTTCAGTTTCTTTAGTCATCAGGGTCCTTAATGTTTCTTGTATTACTATAGTTGAGAGTCAAAGAAATGCTACTTTCTAGAAAGTATTATGTCTTGTGGTCACAAGCCTTTACTGGTGGAGACAGGCATTTTCACTTGGGTCTTTTGTTACAGCCTATTAAAAATTTGATTAAGTGATGTGAAACTGAGGATTAAATATCTAAAACATACAATATTAGAGAAGTATTGCTTAACATGTGCAAAGCTCCGGGTCCAGTCTGCTGTGTTGTGTGGGGTGGTTAGGGTGTGTGTGGATGTGCTGGAAGGGACTGAGAAGCTGAGCTCCTGAGTGAGGAGCCCTAAGAGTTAACGTGAGAGTGTGGGGCGTTCCCAGTGTGTCTACATAGTAAAAGTAAACAGTGTTTCCCTTTTATATGTAGCAGTGTGTGAAGTTGGTAATTAAGTCAAATTTATCTTTTTCTTGTGTGTTGCCATCACAGTTTTTAAAGTATAATTTTAGCTCTAGTGCCTTTCTGTACATTTTAATTCCCTAGAGATTTGTTATTTTATTCCCCTTCATACCTGTGAGTAAGGAATTAATACTAATATCAGTGACGTTTGGTTTAATTGATATATTTTGTGTTTCATAAAAAGAGAAAGCCAGGTAGCCTGTGCTATTGTTTATCCTGATACTTAGAACACTTAATAGTTGTTCAACATCAACTTACTAGAAAAATTATGCTAAACGTTTTACTTTAAGAATTTTATTTACTTTGATGTGTCTGAGTGTGTCTATGTATTTGTGTGAGTGTGTATATATGGGTGTATGTATCAGAGAATGAGTGTGAGTGAGCCTGTGTGTGAGTGAGCATGCCTGAGTATGTGTGTGTGTGTGTGTATGAGTGTGAGTGGGGGGGTACATGTGTGAGCACGTTAGCACTGTGTGTGTGAGTATGTATATGTGAGCATGTCTGAGCGTGTATATGTGTTTATGAGCATGTGTGTGGTGAGTGTGTGTTTGTGAGTGTGTGTGGTGAGTGTGTGTGTGTGTAAGTGTATGTGTGAGTGTGTGTAGTGAGTGAATGTGTGTGTGTGTGTAAGTGTATGTGTGAGTGTGTGTGGTGAGTGAATGTGTGTGTGTATGTGTGTGTGAGTGTTTGTGTGTGTATGTGGTGTTACTCATGTACCATCTGTCTTTTTTGTTTGTTTGACATAGAGTCTCTCATTGGTCTGGAACTGGCCAGTGGCTAAGTAGACCAGGCTGGCTAACCAGTGAGCCTCAGGGATCTGCCTGTTTCTGCCTCCCCAGCTCTCAGATTATAAACCCACACCAAGATGTCTGTCTCTTTTCCCCAAATGTGGGTTCTAATGATAAACTCAGAGTCTCATTCTTGCAAAACACTTTACTGACTAAGCTAACGCCTTAGCTCCCTGTGTTATTTTTGTTTTTAATCTTCCACGACTCAGGAGTTTGGTGTTCTCTAAACGACAGAATGCTAGTTTTCCCCCTTCTCTGAGTAACTGAATTCATCTTTAGGTTAATGATTTAAGATGAATGTCACTGTAGTTAGCTTTTTCAATTGTTTCCCATGAAACAGACATTTGCTGCTTTGAGGACATCATTGGTTACCAGTAGGTGACTGCTATAGCACTCCTATAGTGCTTTCTTCCAGAGGGTGTACATTCTCATTCATGGTGAGGAAATGTCTAGTTATTTTAGTGTGTCTACGTGTGTGGTATATGTGTGCTAGTGCACTCAACACACTCTCTCTCTCTCTCTCTGTGTGTGTGTGTGTGTGAGAGAGAGAGAGAGAGAGAGAGAGAGAGAGAGAGAGAGAGAGAGACCCAGCTTTATGTGGGTGTTGGGAATCTGAACTTGGGTTCTCATGCTTACATGTCAATCATTGTACTGAACCATCTCTGCACCCTGTTTTTGTTTTTGTTTTTGTTTTTTGGGGTTTTTTTGTTTGTTTGTTTTTCGAGACAGGGTTTCTCTGTGTAGCCCGGGCTGTCCTGGAACTCACTCTGTAGACCAGGCTGGGCTCGAACTCAGAAATCTGCCTGTCTCTGCCTCCCAAGTGCTGGGATTAAAGGTGTGCGCCATCACCGCCCGGCTGTACCCTGTTTCTTTAGTGCACTGAAATACTTTACTTGGTGCCTTGAATTTGTTTAAATTTAACAGAAGGCTATGCAAAGTGTTGATTTTTCTCCTTATATAATTACATAAATGCATATAATCCCGGTGATGTAAATATTTGTCAAGAAATGTAAAATGTGGACACAAGCTACTTGTTTCCTAGTCATGACCAAGCTTCTAGCATTGATGGAGACAGAACAAATTGCATAGACTTTGAGAATTGAGCCTGTCAGAACTAAGACAGTTGGCATGTGATGTAGAAGCTTGCTACTGCCTGTGATTGACTTTTTCTTGTTCCTTGACCCCTCCCCTGAACTGGAAACTCCTCGCATTGATCTTTATGACCTTGCATGTAGAAATACTAGCTAGCTGTGAAAAATCCCAAGGGACACTGATTGGATATTTTGGCTGTTTTTGGTCTGCATGCCCTGCCCTTATGAATGTGGTATCTGCCACTAGCCTTTCTTCTCTATCTTCTAAATACCTTTAAACTCCCTCTTTCAGGTTCACCCTGCTCCTTATTCTGTTGTCGAATTCCCAGGACCTCTGTAAAAGCCCATCGGTTGGTTCTCTGTATTTACCCTTCCTTCCCTTCTCTCATCTCACTGCATTCAGAAGAATCTTCTCTTTGGTCCTCTGATTTAAGTTCTTGATGTTGTATCACCTCAGTCCATTAGGCAACAGCGGCTGTGTTCCCCTGTACCATTGTTTTTTCCTTGTGTCTTTGATGGTTTGAGTGAGAAATGACCCTCATAGTCTCAGGCATTTGAACACTTGGTCCCCTGTTGGTAGACTGTTTAGGACGTGCAGCCTTGCTGGAGGAGGTATGTCACTGGGGGAAGCAGTTGAGAGCTTAAGGGTCCATCCTACTTCCAGTTTGCTCTTTGTTGGACTAGTAGTTTAGAGTCAGGTTTGATTTTCCTGCCTGCTGCCACGCCCTGCCCTTCTACAATGAACTCTTACCCATTTGGAAATGTAAGCCCAATTAGACTCTTTGTTTTATAAGTTGCTTTTAGTCATGGTGTTTTATCATAGCAACAGAAAAGTACCTAATGTAGCATCCTAACCCTGTTTATTGAACTCATTCTACCAGTCTTTCTCCAAATATTTTTTTCCTTTTGTTTTTGTTTTTCAAGATAAGGCTTCTCTGTGTAGTCTTGACTATCCTGGAACTCACTCTGTAGACCAGGCTGGCCTTGAACTCACAGTGACCCGCCTACCTCTGCCACCTGAGTACTGGGATCAAAGCCATGTGATCTGCCACCCCTGGCAAATATTATTTCTTAGAAGCCTTTTCCCACACTTGAGACAAGAAGTCTCCCTGTCGTTGTTTACCCAGTTTTTTCCCACAGAGCACATCATTTGCTTACTTACTCATGTGTTAATTGTACCTCCCCCAGCAGACTGGTC